CACACAGACACCGCCGTGGTTACACAGACGCACACACACACCACTGGGGATACACAGACACACAGACACACACACACACACCACTGGGATTACACAGACACACACACACACACCGCTGGGGTTATACAGACATATTCACACACACCGCTGGGGTTACACACACACAGACACACAGCTCACCACTCACTCGCTCGCTAACTCACTCGCTCACTCACTCGCTCGCTAACTCACTCGCTCACTCACTCGCTCGCTAACTCACTCGCTCACTCACTCGCTCGCTAACTCACTCGCTCACTCACTCGCTCGCTAACTCACTCGCTCACTCACTCGCTCGCTAACTCACTCGCTCACTCACTCGCTCACCAGCTCAACACTCACTTGCCCACACTCCCGCGACGTCGTGACGTGCTCATACGAATCAGCAGGAAGCCGTCTCCGTGTCGCGGGTATTGCAAGTAAACAGACGAGCGCGTGGATGTGGATGCGGGAGGGGAACGTTTCCGAGAAAGCGCCCCCCCCCCCCCCTGCAGAGAGGGAAGCCCGTTCCTGTCATAGAGCGCGGGAGCGTGGTGCAGGGGCCCGCGTGTGTGTGCGTGTGTGTGTGTGCGTGTGTGTGAGCGTGTATGTGTGTGAGTGTGTGTGCGTGTGAGTGTGTGTGCGTGTGTGTGAGTGTGTGTGAGTGTGTGTGTGTGAGTGTGTGTGCGTGTGAGTGTGTGTGTGTGCGTGAGTGTGTGTGCGTGTGAGTGTGTGTGCGTGTGTGTGAGTGTGTGCGTGTGTGCGTGAGTGTGTGTGCGTGTGTGCGTGTGAGTGTGCGTGTGAGTGCATGTGTGTGTGTGTGCGTGTGAGTGTGTGTGCGTGTGTGCGCTTGTGAGTGTGTGTGTGAGTGTATGTGCGTGAGTGTGTGTGTGAGTGTGTGAGTGAGTGTGCGTGTGAGTGTGCATGTGTGTGTGTGTGCGCGTGAGTGTGCGTGTGTGTGCTTGTGAGTGTGTGTGTGAGTGTATGTGCGTGAGTGTGTGCGTGAGTGTATGTGCGTGAGTGTGTGTGTGAGTGTGTGTGTGAGTGTGTGTGCGTGAGTGTGTGTGTGTGCGTGTGAGTGTGTGTGTGCGTGTGTGCGCTTGTGAGTGTATGTGAGTGTGTGTGAGTGTGTGCGTGTGAGTGTGTGTGTGCGTGTGTGCGCTTGTGAGTGTGTGTGCGTGAGTGTGTGAGTGGGGGAGCGGCAGTGTGTGTGCGTGAGTGTGTGTGTGAGTGGGGGAGCGGTAGTGTATGCGTGTGAGTGTGTGTGTGAGTGTGTGTGTGAGTGTGTGTGCGTGAGTGTGTGTGTGAGTGTGTGAGTGTGTGCGTGTGTGTGAGTGTGTGAGTGTGTGTGTGCGTGAGTGTGTGCGCTTGTGAGTGTGTGCGTGAGTGTGTGCGCTTGTGAGTGTGTGTGTGTGTGCGTGAGTGTGTGTGTGAGTGGGGGAGCGGTAGTGTAGCGCAGCGCGCTGTTAGCGCGCTGCGCTACAAATCCGGCGTCCCGGGTTCGATTCCTGCTCCCGACCGACACCGGTGACGATTATCTGACCTGGTCCTGGGCCTCCTCTAGGTCGACTCATCCTGAATTAGGTACCTAGTGTGATGTGTAAACATATTGCCACTAGGGAGACAAAGGCGGCCGGGGTAGTGCTGGCCATGCATCCCCTAGGTGCTCGCCAACAACAATTGCCCCAACAGTCTGTTAAGACTATACGGGAGATCTTTGTGTTTGTGTGTATGGGGAAGTGCGGTCGGATTAGTGCGAGTCCCATGGCCCCCCTTCCCCACCCCCCCCTGCTGCCCCCACTCCCACCAAGGGCCACAGAGCCGGGATCAAACCGGGGCAAGGCGCGCCAGAGAAAGGCCGCTTTGAGTGAACTCAACAAAGAGCGCGGAGCAACGAATAAGAAGCCTAGAGCGCGTGTGTGTATGTGCCTGTCTGTGTGTGTGCAGGTCTCTGTGTGTGTGCAGGTCTGTCTGTGTGTGTGCAGTTCTTGCTAATGTGTATGTGCAGGTCTGCGTGTGTGCAGGTCTCTGTGTGTGTGCAGGCCTGTATGTGTGTGTGTGCAGGTCTGTGTGTGCAGGTCTGTCTGTGTGTGTGTGCAGGTCTGCGTGTGTATGTGCCTGTCTGTGTGTGTGTGTGCAGGTCTGCGTGTGTGTGCAGGTCTGTCTGTGTGTGTGTGCAGGTCTGTGTGTGTATGTGCCCGTCTGTGTGTGTGTGTGCAGGTCTCTGTGTGTGTGCAGGTCTGTCTGTGTGTGTGCGGGTCTGTCTGTGTGTGTGTGCAGGTCTGTCTGTGTGTGTGCAGGTCTGTCTGTGTGTGGGTGTGCAGGTCTCTGTGTGTGTGCAGGTCTGTCTGTGTGTGTGCGTGTCTGTCTGTGTGTGTGTGTGCAGGTCTGTGTGTGTGTGTGAAGATCTGTGTTTGTGTGAAAGTCTCTGTGTGTGTGCAGGTCTCTGTGTGTGCAGGTCTCTGTGTGTGTGTGTGTGCCTGCGTAAGCTACATGGGGGGGGTCTTTCTTTTGGGCTGCGCGTGAGGCGCCCTGCGCAAGGCGCTGCCAGCTACAGAAGAAGCCGCACAAACAAGCCGTGAATCTCGCGACTCGAGTCGGGAGCATTCCCGACAGCCAGACAGGAGCCGCGCACTCGGGGCGGCGGTGAACGCCGCCGTACATGGGAGGGAGGGAGGGGAGGGAGGGAAGGGGAGGGGAGGGAGGGGGAGGGAGGGAGGGGAGGGAGGGGAGGGAGGGAGGGGAGGGGAGGGGAGGGAGGGAGGGAGGGAAGGGGAGGGAGGGAGGGAGGGAGGGAAGGGGAGGGAGGGAGGGAGGGGAGGGGAGGGAGGGAGGGAGGGAAGGGGAGGGAGGGAGGGAAGGGGAGGGAGGGGAGGGAGGGAAGGGGAGGGGAGGGAGGGGGAGGGAGGGAGGGAGGGAAGGGGAGGGGAGGGAGGGAGGGAAGGGGAGGGAGGGAGGGAGGGAGGGAGGGAGGGAGGGAGGGAGGGGAGGGAGGGAGGGAGGGAGGGAGGGAGGGAGGGGAGGGAGGGAGGGGAGGGGAGGGGAGGGGAGGGGAGGGAGGGAGGGAGGGGAGGGAGGGAGGGAGGGAGGGAGGGAGGGAGGGAGGGAGGGAGGGAGGGAGGGAGGGAGGGAGGGAGGGAGGGAGGGAGGGGAGGGAGGGAGGGAGGGAGGGTGGGATGGAGAGAGGTGGCTGCCACGGGGGCGAGTGCGGTGTGTCTACGTGGGGAGCGGTGGCGCAGTGCGCTGGAGTTCGATTTCCGTTCACACAAGAATGATGATCTGAGATGAGCAAGTTCTCGCCCAGTGGCGATGTATAAACATCGCCACTGGGGAGGCGGCGGGTCGTGGGGTTGCCCACACCGCCCCCCCCCCTCGTGCGCTGTGCCCGCTCTTCATAGGTGGCGTTTGCCAACAGCCACAACAGTCTGCTAAAGGCCCTACGGGGGATCCTTGCCTCGGCTCATCCCTTCATAGCCTCGCGCTCGCGCCGTCCTTGGCTGTGGTGTTGCTGTCGTCGAGCGAGGGGTTTGCGCGGAGAGGAAAGTCCAAGAATGCCGGAGCGGGCCGCGCTGAGCTTCATGAACGCTCGAGCGCGCACGGCCAGTGCGAGGGAGAGAGAGCGGGGTCCGCGTGGAGAGGACGCGGAATTCGAGGGGGGGGGGGGGTTGGAGTGATGTGGGTCAGGGTAGTGGGGTGGGGGATAGAGAGGTAATGTGAGTGAGCAGTCATCTCACTCGACCGGACCGATACCACGAGGCGAGTTGAGACGTGACGACGGCTCGGGCTTGGCGCAGTCACTCCTTGCTAACCCTCCATCGACCACTCACTCAACCACTCGCTCAACCACTCACGCAACCACTCACTCAACCACCCACTCAACCACCCACTCAACCACCCACTCAACCACCCACTCAACCACCCACTCAACCACTCACTCAACCACCCACTCAACCACCCATTCAACCACTCACTCAACCATTCACTCAGCAACTCACTCAGCCACTCACTCACCCGACCAATCAATCGCCCGCTTATTTTCTCATTAATTACCAACCCCCATTCCCACCTCTTACTCACTCGTCCAATCTCCTAACCACTCACTGACCCACCCGACCACTCATTCACTAAGCTACCTAAAGTCTCACCCACTCATCCAACTATCCACTGGACTACTCACCTAATGATACACTCACCCAACCACCCAGTCATATACACAACCATTCACACAAACGTTCACTTGTGCCCAATCATTTACTCATAGACCCATCATCCCAACCACTCGCTCACTCAATCAACCAAACACTCAATGACTCCTCCACCAACCGAACCAGCCACTCCTTGAACCATCATCCCAATCACTTACTGAGCATGTCACCGACCCAACCACTCACTCACCGACTCAACCACTCACTCATCTATTCAACCACTCACTCATCTACTCAACCACTCACTCACCGACCCAACCACTCACTCATCTACTCAACCACTCACTCATCTATTCAACCACTCACTCACCGACTCAACCACTCACTCATCTACTCAACCACTCACTCATCTACTCAACCACTCACTCACCGACTCAACCACTCACTCATCTACTCAACCACTCACTCATCTACTCAACCACTCACTCATCTACTCAACCACTCACTCATCTACTCAACCACTCACTCACCGACTCAACCACTCACTCATCTACTCAACCACTCACTCATCTACTCAACCACTCACTCATCTACTCAACCACTCACTCACCGACTCAACCACTCACTCATCTACTCAACCACTCACTCATCTACTCAACCACTCACTCATCTACTCAACCACTCACTCATCTACTCAACCACTCACTCATCTACTCAACCACTCACTCATCTACTCAACCACTCACTCAGCTACCCAACCACTCACTCATCGACCCATCATCGCAACCGCTCAACCACCCAACCACCCCCTCCATCCCTGTCCCCTCCGCACTCGTGAAAGTGTCACCTCGTCTCCGCCCCCAAATCATTCAACAAAAACTCCCCTCCCCCCAACCTCCTGGCCTCCATCCACCCTCCTCCTCCCTTTTGCCCCCCTCTCTCTGAACTCACAGTGGGAGTTTGCAGGCATCGCGGGGGAGGAAGGAGACGGACGGACGGACGCGGTAGCGGCTACGTCAGCCGTGGGGGCCCCTCTACCTGGCGAGGGAGCGCACGGGCGGGGGGCGACTCGCCGGGCGCCGCGTGCCCGCGATGGTCGAGGGGGCGGCGGCTTCGGGGTGGAGGCGCGCGACAAATACCGTGGCCAGCGGCGCTCGCTCGCGCCCATCGGCGAAGGAGTTCTCGGCCAAATCGATGCTCGGATCAGGCAGGCCTCGTTAACGTTATTTTCTTGTTGTACATTTTTTTTATATAAACAGGTGCAAGGCGGATTGAAAGCGACTTAATTTGGAAGTCGTTGACACAAGGAGTGAGACTCCGCTCCCTATGGCCGGGCAAGACTGTTGGGGCGAGTGCTGTTAGCGAGCACCTATTAAGGCAAGACAAAGGTCGACAAAGACACGCAGACTGCCGTTCCCTCGTGTGTAGACACTCGGAGAAGATCCAACTCGCTCCAAAACACCAAGTGTCCAGCGCATGAAGGACGTGGCGCTGCCTCTTCTCTCTCGTGGCAATGATGTCCGGAGCTGCCGCGTCCCCCGTCCTCCTCCTCTTCCTCGTCTCGTCCCTGTACCTCTCGGAGGGGTGCCTTGGGCTCTTTCAGGCCGGGTCGGGGCCGGCGGCGGCGGCCCCCGTGCCGCGCCACCACCGGGCCTCGTACAGCCTCTACGGAGGCGCGCACGGCCACGGAGCGGGCAGCAGCAGCGGCAGGGGTAGAGGCAGGTGAGTGAGTGAGCGAGTGGTGATCGCGGTTTGGGGGCTACAGGGGTGGCGAGTCGCGATGTGTGTTGGCTGCGCTCTGCCAACTCAAGACGAGCCGTGCTTCGAATCCCTCTCCCGGAGCGGCAGTTGAAGCAATGGAAGTTTTGTGTTGTTGTTGTTGTGTAATGGCCCTAACCGACTCTATCCAGAATCAGAACATGTATTCATGCTGGAGGAATCCGATGAGCTATGAAGCACAGCGACAGTCGATCAGCAGGTGGCGCGTGGTGGGGGGAAGTGTGAGCGCCTCTTCTCGCCAAGATTCCACGGCAAAACAATTACCGGTTGGCGACGTTCGCAACCGGTTAATGTACAACAAGGGCGTGAGAGGTGCCGACGGCTTTGGAAGGTGTGGTCGAGACTAACGACGGAGTGGCAGCCCAAGGAGGGAACTCGACCTAGAGGACGTCCACCGCGGAGACGGAGCGATGCAATTTTTTCACGCGCAGCAGCTGCATGTGTTGTTGGCGAGGGCTTCATCGTCTAGCAGGGGATCGATCGTGGCTGGCGATCGGGATCGCGACACGCCGTGACCGCACTGCTTGCTGTCGTTTTATTGATTGAGACAAATCATGCAACACGCACGGACTGTGCAACGCAGCACCGCGCCGCGGTTGTCTTCGGAAGCATTGAATTGGTGGAGCCGTCGTAGTACAGAAGCTGACAGATCGCCGTCGGGGGGAAACGCGTTTGTGAATTGGCAAATATCCATTGTTGCTCTGGTTAGTGTGTTTGGGAAATAACGCATCGGATGAATGCGGTCGAGTTACAATCGAGCTCGTCCCGCTTAGCAACACAACTTGTTCACACGACACGTGCGGTTCGTGCTGGATCACCCACCTGTACAATAGCTATGGTGCCCGAGTCCTAAAGCAGGAGGATGAGGAACAGCGGTGCAGGAAGAGGAGGAGGAGGGGAAGGAATGACCGGGCCAAGATGTTTGGGATGAAGAGAGGTTAGTGATGATGATGATAGGGGTGGTGGGGGGGGGGGGAGAATGAAGGAGCGAGCAACAGGGAGCTGCACGGGAGAGGAGCGGCGTCTGTTTTCACAGTGGGCGGGGAGGGGTTCCGAGAGGGGGTGGCCACATGGAAGTCACGTGGTTTACGGGAGGCGTGAGACCAATTTGCTGTCACCAACGCATGAGCGTGGATACAATATCGCTCTGCGCGTTGAATGGCGTCCCATGGTCTATGCGACGTGCTCTTGCAACGACACCTGGTAGCCCGACAGCCTGACACTGCTGGTGAGAACCAGGAGGTCGAAACCGGTACAGAGTTCGGCCGATTCAACAAATGCCTGAATCATGTTAATCTGGAATAGACCAATGGCCTGACGGATTAAAACACACCTTTCAATAACACGTGGAGGCACAGATTGGAAGTAGGGTTCTAATTGCTAATAGCAACGAGCACCAGGGAAGCCGTGCGGGAGCTGACCCTGTCCGCGAGACAGAGAGGAAGACGCGCATTGGAGGACGAACTCACGTTCAAGACGTCATCCTTCAATCTGTTCAGGGAAGTAAAGAGGGGTTGGGGCCGGACCCGATGGTCGAGAATAATCACGGAGTGGCAGCCACAGAATGTAACGCGACCGAGAGGACGTCCACTGCGGAGGAGATGGAGCCATGGAATCGGATCGTGTCCAGGAGCTGGGTGGATTGTTCTACCGCAAAGTCGTGAGACGTGGCGAGACGTGTTCGCCTGGTCGTGGGTTCGATCCTGACTGCTGCATATTTGGAGTTTTCGTGTTCTCTCTCTCCCCGTGGTCGCGTAGATCTTTTTCCGAGTCCTCCGGTTTTCCCTCCACATTTCGAATCAACATTACGCTTTCAGAGCATTTAGCGGATGCTATGGATTTCCACGTAATACAGCCACTTCGCTGAGCTATAATTTGTGGCCAGGTCGCGTCTAAAATATTCTCTACAGCGCAGTTTGCCTTATCTGGTAAATACATAAATAAGAATAGCGCTGATCATGGCTGATGAGAAGGTTGACCTCTCATCTCGAGACACAGAATCTGAGTGCCCGGCAATACCAGCGAGACTCCGTCAGATCCTCACAGTTACAAGGACAAAGATCCCCTGTGTAGCCTACGAACGCTGTTGGGGCAAGTGAAACGTGTCCGCAACCCCTTGAGAAGGAACATCTCGTTTGCAACGGTGTCCAGGGAGGCGTACCGAGTAACCACGTCCTCACCACGTGCACGCACGCGCGCGCGCGTTGAGAGCAAAAACAGTTTCCTGGTGATGCTACTGCTGCGCTGGCATCGGTGCACGGGCACAAGCAACAACAAAAACATCTCTACACTCGTCAGTAACAACAACAGCAACAACAACATAGTACTTTGGCCTCACATATATATAAAATGCGACGTTTCGGGCAATAGTCCATAATCAGCTATGCGCTATGGAAAAGGGTCATTGCCCGAAACATCGCCTATTTTATATTTTCTCCTTTTCAGGCCACAGTGCTATGAATGAATGTGTTGAGATGTTTATATTTAAGTGTTAGACGTAGAATTACGATGTAAACTCGTACCACTGCAACCGCCGCCCACACGCGGCACCCAATCATCGCTCTCGTGGCGAGGGGGCGAGGGGGCGAGGGGGCGACAGGAGGAGGAAGCACGGACGAGGAGCGGGAAGGCAGCGGTAGCGCAGTGACGAGACGGCGACACCAACAATTGCCACCCAAGCTCTGCGGTCCTCTATGTATATTCATGCGGTTTCAGCCAATTAATGAGTACTGTATTTATACCTGTGGGAGGAAATGGGAGTGCCCAGAGAAAATCCACGGCTTGCGCGAGGGGGCGACACTGCCCCACACAGAAGGGACAGATGATTATTATTAATCCGTGCTCAGCTGTACCGCCATCTCCTGGCGAGTCAGGATATACCAACACCCGCCGCCATTCGCCACGAGGTGACGGGGACGTCACCACGGCGCCTGTGCCAGGCCAGGTGCACTTTGAGGCCACGTGAGTGTCGAAGGCTCGCTGACAGGAGGTGGACTGACTGAGATGACTGGTAGATGTACCACCTGCATCGCCTACTGTGCCAACTTGCTATATTTTAGACACCCGGCGCTCTGCTCGTTATTGTGAGCGTCGCTCCTCCACCCTCCGTTGTTACTGGAGGGCGACTGCCTCCAACTGCCCATTAATGCCCTTCACGAGCCTTCTCCACAGAGGCCGATCTTGACACCACTGGTACCGGTCGTCGGCAAGTCAATTCAGCTCCACATCCTCCTATACCGCATCAGTCCATCTCTTCTCCAGCCCACGTCGTGCCGATATTCTTTGGGTCTTTCGGTAAAGTCACGTAGATAGGTTCAAAGAAGCCACAGTCCTGGACCTCACCCATTTTCCCTTAGCATCGGAAGGAGGGGGGGGTGCCAACTCCAGCTGTAAGTGATGTTGAAATTCCTGCTTGCAACTATCCTCAGCTAGCTGAGACCAGGGCACTGTGGGTGTGAATGGGGTCCTAGATGAACACCCACCGCCGCAGTGGAATAATGACAGGCGCATCTTACAGATGACAAGTCGATGGTCAGTGGGCAGATCAGCTCCACGGTAGGTCCTGGTGTCAAGGACATGGGCCCGCATGCGCTGGTCCGTAATTATATAGTCCAGCAGATGTTCGTGGTTGCACCCGGCGTGGAACCATTATGTTTTGTGGATGCGCCAATGCAACGTGTTCGTAATTACAAGCCCATGGGTTGGGCTAGGAAGGGAGTTTCACAGCCATCTGTGTGGTGATCCACCAACCCTCGCTGCTGCCTTCAAAGTGCTGGATTACACGCAGCCACGTGCAGCGTAGCCGCGACCACAACCACCCGACAAAGATCGCCGTTGGGATATAAACCACGGACCGCATGGCCGGACAGCCTGCAGAACAGGGGAGAACATCCGAATTCTACACAGACAGGGCGCCCGAGTTTGGAATCGAACCCAGGTGTTCTCTTTTGTGAGGCTCGAGTGTTACCACTGCGCCACCCAAGAGCGTTGTTCAGGGCGTGTTCTTGACCTCTCTACGCGCGCGGTCGCCCGTCACGAGAGATGAAAAACAGCGTTTTGTTGAGACGGGGAAGTGCGCAGATTACTGCCGGCACTTTTTATTAGGCTCTGCTTAGAGCACACTCACACACGTCCACCCACACACGCGCACACGTACACCCACACACGGACACCCACACATTCGCACACACATACGCATACACACACACATACGCACGTGTTATTGCTTTTTCATAAGTGTTGGAGGAAACGGTGGTGCAAACGGTGAGTGCGCCATGTAACGAACGATATCCGACCTATTTTTGGTCACCCCCCGTTCACTAACTCGCACGGACAGCCAGCGTGGTGAGGTTTGGTTAACAACTCTCGTGGCCACGACAGCATGGGCACATCATCATCATCCAGCAGCAGTGGAACGACGCCAACAACAACCAGTATCAACCAGAACCGTGGACTCTTCGATAACCAATGTCTCTCTCCCTGTCCCTGTCCTTCCACAACTCAAATCTCTCCCTCCCTCCTCTCCGCACCCCGTGCTCCTTCCCACCACCACCATCATCACCACCATCACCCCCGCTATCACCACCACCATCTCCACCACTAAAACCATCCTCACCACCACCATCATCCCCACCATCACCACCACCATCCACACCATCACCATCGCCACCATCTCCACCGCCATCCCGACCACCACCATCCCCACCGTACCCACTACAATCCCCACCACCACCACTGCCACCACGCAGGAACTGGTGCGCGCGGCACGTGACGCGAAACGTCTCGTGCGCCGTGCTCAACGGCTCGCACTCGCACGTGCGGGCCGAGCCTCAGCGCTGTCGCTGGGGTCAGGACCACTGCCCGGGCGGCCGCACCACCTACCTGTGAGTCGAGCCGCAGCGCCACACACCACGTGGGCTGCCACCTGTCCCGGCGGGGTCGACCCGGGCAGTCTGGGAATTGACATCCAGTGGCGGTCCGGGGATGGGTTGTCTACCTGTGTGTTTTGTGTTGTTAGTGAGAAGCGGTGGCGCAGCGGATAGCGAGTTGCGCTGCGAACCCGGCGAACCGATTTCAATTCCGTTTACGGCCGCCAACACCAGTAACGATTATCTGAACCGGTACTGGGCCTTCCCTAGGTCGACTCAGCCTCATATGAGTACCTGCTGTGGTGTGTAAACATCGCCACTGGGGATACAAAGGCGGTACACCCCCTCGCGTGCCGTTTTCATAGGTGCTCGCTCACAGCACTTTCCCCAAAAGTCAGTCAAGGCTATACGGGGTACCTTTGTCTCGTGTTGTTATTGTCGCGTTGTGTACTGCAGAGTTTTGTGTCGAGCCAGGACCCACGTCTCACAGCGCCTCTTGACACCTGGCAGGTCACCAGCGTTGGTTGAAGCGAGCCTCACTGCTGATGAGACACTGCATGTGGAAGCGAGTGTTTGCTCGCGTTGAGCCAACGCTGCTGAGAGTATCGCCTCCTAGAAGGCCGCGTGGCTGATGGGATGTGTGGCAGCAGCGCGCCCTCGTCTTCTTGTGTGGAGACACAGAGAAGCAAAGGAGGCGGCAACTTTCTTCCATTTCTATTCCACGGCAATTCTCGCACACGGTCTCTTT